TATGTGTGTGTGCAAATGAATAGATATACATCTAAACACAGTACGAATGATGGACAATGGTCACGGAAGGACAGTATACTGTATGGAACCAGCCTGAAACAGTGATATTCTTGTATACGAGTGGCTTGAAACTATGCACATTTGCAGTGAAGCGGTTAATATATGGTGATTTGCGAAACTATCATATGGATAGGCTGAGGGGACCAACCTTTCTCAAGAATTAATGTGGTGATTAAGCAGACATGCAATAGGATGTGTTGGATCACACAGGGATAGGCCTGTTGATACGAAGTATTCACAATCAAAGAATGACACGACGGCGCATTGGTATGTCCTTGTTCAGTCTGGTTCAAGCGCACAACGAACATACCTTTTTTCCCCGGCCACCCTCAGGCTGATGGAAAAATACTTCATATAACGGAAGTGTTGATGGTGATACGAGATGTCTCCTGAGTTCGTCAATAAAGTTGGAAATCTTAGACGGAATGTGTGGTTTAAATGTACAAAGCAATGCAAGTGTTTGATGATGACACCATATGTATTTTTTTTTAGGTCGCGAAGGGAACGAATTGAATAGACAAGAGGTGTGTTATATATGTGCAAAGCAATAAAGTGCTGATGGAGGCACCTGATGTATCCTGAGTTCGTGAATGATAATGGAAAGCTTAGACGGGATGTGAGTTATAAATGTACAAAGCAATGGAAGCGTTGGTGGTGACATGAGATGTCACCCAAGCAAAATCTACACATCAAAAGCCTCAGGATGCTGCAAGGGATCATGGCAATAGCCTCGCTGGATCAACATTGTAAAGTCAGAGAGCATATCGTGCAACACTGATTTACAATAAACATTCAATACCCCATACAGGATCGTTGTTTGCAGCCAAAACTTGAGACATAATTTCAATACCCCCATAGTTCCGTGTTACAGAGCCAAAACTGTAGGTATTCGCACAGTGAGTGTGCTATTTGAACTATGACAGTGCCACAGGAAGGGTTGTGAGCTTACCTCCAACACTCACTAAAACAACTTATCCAATACCTATATGGGCTTAGTTCTGGCAGCCAAGGGGGGTATGTATATGCATAAATGGTACTATTATGAACTACCTAAAATTTAGGACAAAATCGGATTACTTAAAACTTTGCACAATACCCGCAGCACGCACTCGAACTATACGACCAAAACCCCAGCACTACTATCTCAGGCAGCCAAAATCGCATATATCTACCTTTAAATTATTGCCACCCCCCTGCCACCCCCCACACACATCAAAAGCGACATAAGGCGAAATATAAGGTGGATTGTGCTTTTTCCGCATAGACGGACGTAACCGATAAAATATTGAGCTTCTCCAATCCTTTCAGCTATTTTATTCACGATTACACACAGGGAAGTGGATTAGAATCTACATCCAAAACAATACGGATCGAGTCACAATGGATGTGCATATGGGCTTACTCACCTAAACAACTTATCCAGCATCCCCACAAGCTCGTCCCTTGCCGCTTCAAAATTGGACCGTTTCCGCAAATTGGCTGGTAACAGTGAATTGCCCAGACCAGAAAACTTCAGCAATTCCATCCGCCTTCGTTTGGCAGCGCTCCTGCAAAAAAACAGTTGTATTTGAGCATAACGAGAACAAACCAGCTCAATGAGTCATTCGTCTCGAAAATAAATATAAATATAAAC